GCAGAACGTGCCCTCCTCAATACCCACCACCAGGCTAACCCATCCTCCCACCCCCCTCCCCTCTAGAACCCTCAGCTTGTTTTTCAGAGTCCATCGTCTCTCATGGTTCGTCCACCCCTCCGATTTCCCCTGCTTCATTCCTCCCCTCCCGCTACCTTCTTCTTCTTTTTTTTTTTCTTAACATCTCTTGCATTATTTGTCTCAGAGGTACAGATCTGAGATTCAACAGTCCTGCACAATTCACAGCGCTTAACAGAGCACATACCCTCCCCAATGGACATTTGCATTTGTTAAGGAAATAAAAGTCCTATGAATAGAGATCCCTCCACATCACTGCAGAAAAGAAAGAAAATTGATTTAGTACTTGTGATACTGTGATTTCTGAGAAATATATATTTGGTCATCCAAATGATTTGGTCATCTAAATGAACAGTCTTTGTCCACTGTTCCTGGCTCATACAGCTCCCCAAACCCTTGGAATTTCATAATTCTGAGAGTGGAGAGTGATACAGGTGTTTTTGTTTTGTTAATGAGGTGACTTTTGTAAAGCACATAAGGATGGGGGCTGGTGGCCAATGGAGCCAATGATGTGATTACAGATTTGGAACTTTCAGTCCTACCCCAACTACCTTTAGGGAGGAGAAAGGGGGTAGGGGCTGGAGGTTGAGTCAATCACCAGTGGCCAGTGATTGAATTAATCGTGCCTGTCTAATAAAGCCTCCACTGAAACCTAAAAGGATGGGGTTTGGAGAGTTTCCAGGTTGGTGACCATGTGGAGACTGGAGAGAGTGGCATGCTTGGAGAAGGCATGGAAACTCCAACCCAGTTCCCCATACCTTACATTAGCATTTCTTCCATCTCTAGGAAATTAAAGGGAGGTGAAGGGAATCTGATTTATAGCTAGTTGTTCAGAATCACAGGTAACAGTCTGGGGTTATGACCGGCTAGTGTCTTAAGGTGGGGGAGTGTTATCGGTAGAGAGCAGTCTTATGTAAGTCTTTTTTTTTTAAAGATTTTATTTATTTATTTGAGAAAGAGCACAAGAGGGGGGAGCGGGAGAGGGAGAAGCAGACTCCCCGCTGAGCAGGGACCCCGATGCCGGACTCGATCCCAGGACTCCAGGATCATGACCTGAGCCGAAGGCAGTTGCTTAACCAACTGAGCCACCCAGGCGCCCAGTCTTTTTTTTTTTTAAAGATTTTTTTTTTTAAAGATTTTATTTATTTGAGAGAGAGAAAGAGCACAAGAGGGGGGAGTGGGAGAGGGAGAAGCAGACTCCCCGCTGAGCAGGGAGCCCGATGCGGGACTCGATCCCGGGACTCCAGGATCATGACCTGAGCCGAAGGCAGTCGCTTAACCAACTGAGCCACCCAGGCGCCCCCAGGTGCCCAGTCTTATGTAAGTCTTATCTTATATTCCTCAGTCCCTAGTCTGAGGAATCTGATACTGCCTCCAGGAAGATAGTGTCAGAATTGAGTTAAATTCTTAGACACCCTGCTGGTGTCTGAGAATTGCTTGGTGTTTGGGACATGCTCCCACTGCCAAACACACATATTGGAATTGAGTCCAAGAATCTAATTTACTACTCAGTAAGCCAACAGAGCAGTACATGCACATAGGTAGCCTATGAGTAACTATGAAGTGAGAATAAAATTTCATATAATTAACTGAATAAAGCAGAAGAAAGAATAATTAAACCCCTCTTATCTACTTGAGAGACAAATAGTTACTCAAGATAGTCTGCTAGGTTAACTCCAGAGTTGTGCGTGGAACTTTCAAGGGAGTATGAAGCCCAGATTTTGGATACATCTTTGCACAGGGACATGGGGCTTATCTAGCCCTGGAGAGATTTATCTACCTTCCCAAGTGTTAGAGTAGGGAATCAAGGACTGTTCTGTTTCTAAAGAGACCCTTTCAAGGAAGAAGGAACAGGAAACATTTTTCTTCCCCTTTACAAGCAGAGAAAAATCATTTTTATTTATGCTCACACATGTGCAGCAGCTTTTGAGACTTCTAGAATGATGTATCTGAAGCACGAGACTACAAGATAGTGGCACCTGGCAAACAACAGAAAGTGGAACTTTAGATGTCCTTGTTAAGTTCTGTGGGTCACACCAATGACTGGAATTTTGCCAGGAGCACCTCCATCTCCGAAGGCTCTGGTCTCCTGCCATGTTTTCATATTCCCTTTCCACACTTCCTGTTTCTCCCCTTTAGACAACTTCCTCCCCTAGATTTCCCCAGTAAACTCAATTTCCCTTGTATTATTATGCAGAGCAATTTTGTTTCCCAACCACTAACTAGGCTCTGGCACATCAAAGACATTTCCACTCCCAAATGCTTTACCAATGGTGGGCATTGACTCCAAATCCCACTCTCTAATTGCAGAGAAAAATGGGCAGAGGCTTTGCAATTTTAGTCTTTTCCCTTCTTCCTTTCTCACCAGTGTCTGAAGGAAGAGAGAAGTAAAGATACATTGTTCAACTGCTAATAGGAATTATGCTATTGTAGGGGCCAAGGACAAGTTGCCCCAAGAGAAGTCACCTTGGATGTAGATTATTTTGAATTGAAAACAATCAAGGCCCAAAAGGCTCAAGAAGAAACTCTGACTTCCCTTCCCACTGCCTGGAAAGAATAGATAGAGGACTTGCTCCAGGAAGAGAGCCATCACCACAGATAACTATACTATAACATGAATTAGGGATTGTAGAGAAGTTTAGCAAAGTGTGTTTGTTAAAATTCCTATGTCCCATTATTTCTGCATGGCCCAGTAAACATTTCTTTACCATTTACCCTGTTCATCTTCCAGTGAATTGCTTTCTTTCCCTTTGAAGTCCCAGATTCCTACCCCCTTCTCCTTAGTTCAGAATGACATATATACCTCATTTCACCTGTCTTTGGAATTTCATATCGGTATGGATTCCCCTCATGTACAAAATGAAATTTGATTTCTACTGTTAATCTGCCTCATGTTAATTTAATTCTTAGTCCAGTTAGAAGAATATTTTTTTTTAAAGATTTTATTTTTAAGTAATCTCCACAACCAATGTGGGGCTCAAACTCATAACCTCGAGATCAAGAGTCACATGCTCCACCAACAGAGTCAGGCAAGTGCCCCTGGTTCAAGAAGAACCTTGAACAGTGGAAAATTCCTTCCTCCCCAACATGATCCTTCATCTCCATACCACCCGCCCGCC